ACTTCTGGAGTTACTGGTGGTTTGATTGGGAATATCCTCCATAAGCTCCACATATTTGAACACCTGTTCCTCATTTGGTGGTGCTATTTAAAAAGAATCATGAAACCTTTAGGAGTGTGGTCATGCTGGAGGAAGCACATTACTGGGGGTGGACCTTTTTTTTTTTTTTTTAAACTTTCTTGGATAACTTTTTTAATTTTTACAAAAATTTTATTGAGAATTTCATGCATGCATATAAGGTGTTTTGATCAATTCCATGCCCACTCCCTCTCCTCCAACATTCCCTCCTCTGAAGAGGTAACTTAAAATCTTTTAAGGATTAAATATAAGCTCCCAAATACTTTTGACATTTTTGGCCTTTGGAACAGATTATGTTGCTAACAGGGGCAAGGACATTTTGACTTTTAGACAAGAAACTGGCTACACTTCTTTGGGGGTCTTTTTACCCTAACTGCCTAGCCAATTCCTACCTCATAGTCTTAACCATTCCATCCTCTGAAGGATGGCTTCTTTGAACAGGGACACGATGAGACAACTGGCATACCCCTTCAGTGGGTCTATCTAAAAGATTCCCAAATTGCATAACTCTTGTCTGTAAGGGGAGAAGAAAGTCCTTGAATTATGAATAGGAGATGTGAAGGAGAAGTAACGGCAACAGTGATTAACATTACAAGTTCTAGACAGGAAACTAGAAGAAAGAACGGCAATTTTCAAATGTTCATATGAGAGTCCATTGGAGTTTCTTGAGAAGGGCTTCCAAAAGCACCCCTCTATTGGGTTCTTCCTCATTTTTCTTTTGACTTCCAAGGCTGGACTAGTTGGCTGGGAAGAGTGGCTGGATACTCAGGTGAGGGTCCAGTGACCCTGCTTGGCACTCCTTTAATGAATGAGCACAACCATCAACAAGCTCAGTTGTGACTATGTTTAGTGATCAGGCTCAGCCGAAGTCATGTTGATGGTAGTTATTTCATGCATAAGGGACTGCTGTATAGCATCATCTTACTAAAAGGACCACCATGTGGAGGCAGGATCCTGGGCTGTCAGGCTGTCTCCTGGGTTCTCAGGCCCTCTGGTAGTTGGCGGCCAGAGGGAGGCCAGAACCCTGCACTCTCTGGTGGTCTGCTGAGCCCCAAGCTGCTACCCTGATGGAGGTCCAAACCCACCCTCTCAGGCTGTCTGCCTCGGGGTGGACTTTGAGAGTAGTTAGCCACCTCCCATTTCCAGTCTCTGCTTCCTTTGCCATCTTGAAGATATGAGCACTCAACTTTCTGCTCTGGCCACCTCTGTTGTCATGCTTCCCCACCATGATGGATTCTTATCCACCTGGACCCTTAAGCCAAATAAACTCTTCCTTCTATAAATTACCTTGGTCTTGGTGTTTTATCACAACAGAAAAGTAACTAATACAGAGACCTTTCCTATAAAGCAAGTTCCCAATGAAATTATTCTAAATTTCTGGAAAATTTTGTGCTCAATTTTGTACTTGAATCTGTGCATTAAATGCTCATGACAACCTCATGGGGAAAATGTCTGAATTTTCCATAGAACAATGAATTCCCTTATATATCTACAGTACAGTTTTCAAAATCAAAGTAATATTAAGCCAGAAGTGATGACACATACCTTTAATCTCAGCACTCAGGACACAGAGGCAGGGGGAATCTCTTGAGTTTAGTACCAGCCTGGTCTACATAGGAAGTTGTAGTATTGCAGGTCTAGAATAGAGGCAAATGGGACCCCCAAATAGTAAAACTAATAGGAAGCAGTTTATTGTAGAGTACACTGACCCAGAGAGCTATATTTCTCTAAAGCAGGGACCTGAACAAAGAAAAGCTTAGCCTTTTATATCCCATGTACACTTTAGTTTCTTTGTCACCCATATATGGTAACACATATATTCTGATTAGGTGCTCCAGGTTACAGTCATGGCAGGTGACACTGTACACCTGCTCTCAGGCAGAAACCATGCTGCATTTCTTGTTCTGTGTTGTGGGGTGGGAGGGCAGTGTCCTGACATATCCCTGCCCTTTGATATTGGAACCCTCAGGGTCAAAGAGCCTCATCTTGGTTTAGGAGTTGAGGATGAAAAAAACAAACTAAAATGTAACAAATTACAATTGACATGTTAAGAAATAACATCAAGATATACATTAGTAATATAAGATGTAGGAATTATTTTCTTTTTTGAAGCAGGGTCTCCCTGTACCCCAGCTGGCCTCACAGAGATCTCACTGCCTCTACCTTTGCCACCTGAGTGCTGGGACTAAAGGCTCTTTAGATAACCCAGGGGAAGAACTTGGGACATAACATTATTTGTCCATTAAAGAAAATTCCCTCTGGTTCTCCTAAGTGGTTTATAAGGTAAGACTAGACATCATTAAATTGGTCAGAGGAGACATTATTTTAGTTACATTAATTACCAGGTCACTCATATTTTAGCCAGGTATGGTGGCACACACCTTTACTACCAGCACTCTGGAGACAGAGGTGAGCAAATCTGAGTTTTGAGGCCAGCCTGGTCTACATAGCAAGTTCCAGGCTAGCTGGAGATAGGGAGACCCTGTCTCAAAAAAACAAACAAAAAATAATAATAATAATAATAAAATTACCAAGTTACTCTTTTTTTTTTTTTTTTTTTTTTTTTTTTTTTTTTTTTTGATTCCTCCTTAAGCCAAGGCAGGGTCTGACAGAGCTTGGCAGCTGGGAAGCATCTTTCTAAATCTGGAAACACCACATCTAGGCTGGCCTTGAACTCACAGAGATCCACCTGCCTCTGCCTCCCGAGTGCTGGGATTAAAGGCGTGTGCCACCACACCCAGCTTATGACTGAATTTTTTAAAAGTGGTATCAATGGAGCACTTTTGTGTTTACCTATTTATTCGTCCATTGGGTTGCTTCCACTTTTTGGCTATAGTGAACAATATTGTTATGAACATTAACATTTGCATGCAACTTTGTGAGGATATAATTTTCTTCTTTTTTTTTTTGAGACAAAGTCTTACTTACCATGTAGCTGACTAGCTTAGAATGCACTATGCAGACCAAGACCAAGCTGACCTCGATCTCACAGAAATCCATCTGCCTCTGCCTCCTGAGTGCTGGAATTAAAGGTGTGCATCACCACACACAGATCTTTTCTATTTTTTTTTCTTTATG